ACTTACTCTTTGACCAATTTAAAACAATACAAAGTAACTGAGAATGGATTAATATGGAGACTGAAATCTTGTGTAACATTAACTCATTTCTCTTTTTGGTTAGGAACAAAGAGAAAAAAAGTTATTATAGGGCCTCCCTGGTGGCACAGGGGTTAAGGACAGCACTATCAAAGTACTTCCAGCCACTACAGCAAGAGTTCAATCCCCGGCCAGCCAAGGAGCTGATCCACATGGCACAGTAGACCTGTTCTGTCTCATCCGCTGCTCCCCTCAGCAGTGCATTTCAGTAGATCCACCTGTTCTGCTCCCCACTCTGTCTGATGAATCCTCTCACCCCATGCACCTCTGGCCTACACTCCAGTTCTTGTATGCATAAATAAATAAATCTTTTTTAAAAAGTTATTATAGAGTAAATAAGATATTGCCTTTTAAGAAGGGGGAAAGACCTGGGGTACATTTTTCCAGATGCTATTTTTTTATTCATACAGCATTGAAGAATTCATTCATTAATCAGGCAAGAATAAACTCAGTATCATTTGCAACCTAGGGAAGATGACCTACTTAGGGACCTCCCCTGGTGGCGCAGGCAGTTGAGCTCAGCGCTGTGAAGCTGTCCGCAGCCTCTGCAGCACTGGTTGGATCACAGCCAGCAAGGGTCCCACGTGGCGCAGCAGACCTCTCCTGTCTCGCCCACTGCTCCCCTCAGCAGTGTATTTCAGTCAGTCTGCCTGTTCTGTTCCCCGCTGTCTCTGGCGAATTCTCTCACCCTCCCACGCATCTGGCCTATACCCCGGTTCTTATATAAATAAATAAAAATATTTGAGAAAAAAAAAAAAGATGACCTACTTATCAGATTTTAATGTACTGAGTCATAATGCAAACTTGAGAAGGTGGAACAGTATAATGACACTATGTGGGCAAGCATTTCTTTAGCAAACTTAGGGAGAAATGTAAACCACATATCTTAGTACTGTAAAAGATAGTCAGTTTGTCCACATGTTGAAATCAATATTTGCAATAAAGGATCATTTGGTCAAATTGTTGGTAGTTAGAACTTTAACTAATTTTTTTCTTTAAGTTTTATATAATGTGGATTTTAAATTTTCCTTTAAAATTTCCAATGGAAGGAGAGTTAGAAATGAGTTCCATGACTTGTGGTAGTTACTAAGCTGGCAGGATATATACTAATCCTCTTAAATGCATTATGTTATTTGATTCTAAAGACAACTTTTGACACAAAAATCCTAAATCAAACTGCTTGGATTTTGTTTGGTTCTCGGTTTGGGCACAAAAATAAAGTTGCTTAGATTGAAATCTGGTTCCATCACTTCCTAGTGTTGTATATGACCCTGGGCATGTTTTTATACCTTGGTTTAATTTGTATTAAAAAATGGGGGGTAGTAATAAGTCTGTCTCACAACATTGTAACTAGTAGTATATAAAATATTACATATAAAGAGCTTAGTGTGGCACCTGGCTCAAAATCTTTCACTGTCCACTAGTTTCATCCTGATTAAAGATGTTCTCTTTTAACTTTCTCTCATTCTTTACCTTCTATATAATCAAGAAAAATGGAGATGTTTTTCCAAAAATGCATTTACCAACCACTCTAGAAGGAACAAACTGCTACAATGGGAAACATTAAATTGTAGTAAATGTGTATTTATTTATATGTACCTATTTGTATTATTTTGAAATTTAAATTTCAAATAAGATAGCCTGTTTTGGTCAACCACAACTTAATTTTGTTAAAATGAGGTTCCTTAATGTTGTATTTGAGCACTTTTGAGAAAGTAGTTACAGAACAGCATTCGTTAACATGTACTTCACACCACAAGCAAAACTTGGGTATGTGACAGTGTTTTGTCGATTATTCTATGTCGAACATGCAAAAAGAAAAAAAATAGAAAAAGAAATTTGGTAGTTTTGATAACTATAGGATTGTCAACTTCAGAGGTTTTTTTTTAAAATAGTGGAGGGTCTGGTTTTATTCTTCACTCAGATTCATCTTGAATATTGTAGAATAGCCTTTAAATTCCAGAATAGATGTTGTTTCAATATAAACATAATGCTTTACTTGGAAATGAAAGAACTCTTAATCAAATTATCAACCAAGTGGTGACAGTACAGCCAGGGTTCTTTTTGCAAAATGGCTTGCATCATTGACTCAAATTTTGATTCTTGCCACCATCAAAGTCAAGTCACTTGCAACCACTTTTTAGACTGCTCTGTTCTGTACACTTGAGCTGGCACATTATTGAATAGCAAGTGTGTTAGGCACCATTCTAGGTGTTGAGGATATATCAACAGACAAAAATACTTGTCCTCATGGAACTTACATTTTAGTGTGGGGAAATACTTCAAATATATACTTCAAATATATGTAACTGAAAAGGTTAACACAGGAACTAACACCAGAAAGATGTAAGCCATGCCAATATCTGGAAAAGAAAATTCTAAGCCAGTAAAGGGGCTACTGCTAAGTCCTGGGATAGTATTCCTGTTATGGAAGATTAAGGAATTCCCTTCAGTGTTAGCAGAATAAAGTCAAAACTTTAAGTATCCAGTTCTTTATTGAGTGAAATGGGGAAATACTGGCAAGTTCTAAGCAAAGGAATGCCATTTTGGCTTACATATTAAAGATAATTTTGGCTACTATGTTGAGAAGAGATTGTTCTCAATTGGAAGATCAATTGAGAGGTTATTTTAATAATCCAGGCTAATGACAGTTTGGGACAAAGTGTTAGATGAGGAATTTTGTATTTAAAAGGTAAGATTCTGCATGTTTTGTAAGTAGAACATGATTTACTGACATTGGATATGAGGTATGATAAAAGTTAACAAAGATGTACCTATAATGCAATTTGATTGGAAGATTGTGGGTTTTGCATAATTTCAGAACTGGACATGGTAAAAATGCCTATTAGACATTTACATGGACAATCCACGTTGTAGTTTCTATTGCTATCAAATAGCAGTAACAGTATATAATTTCAAAAACACAACTGTATTTCACACCAAAGTTATCATTCTTACGTGGAAAAATCTCATAATACTAAATACAGGTATCATTTAACTTTCAAGAATTTTTAAGTATCCTTAAAAATTATCCCTTTAAGTATACTTTTAATACTAAAAATTGCTATTACTATTTCTTTGCAGTGTTTACTTAGAACTACCTAATGTTTTCTAATTACTTGGCTACAACTAAGGCCACCATGCTGAAAATTGGTAATAAGGTAATTCATACCAAAGTAACTATAGCAGTTCTCAACAGGGGCAGGAATGAGAAAGTTTTGACTAGATGACATTTGGCAATGTCTGGAGGAACTTTTGGATTTTCACAAACTGGGGAGAGAGGGAGTGCTACTGACCTATAGTAGTAGAGGCAAGGATCACTTCTAAATATAATGCAATTCACAGGATGTGCCATTACAGCACTAATTATCTGACTGAACATCAACAGTGATGGGTTGAGAAACCCTGCATTCGAGATGGAAATTAGAGACCCAGGAACTTAAAACATAACCAAGTGAAAGGCACTCTATACTCAAGACTACCTGGGTTCAAATATCCTGAGAATGAATTTGAGGAAATTTACTAATCCATCTGTTTCCTCAACAGCTTAAAAAGATTAAAACACTTGACATGATCTGTGCAATTCAAATTATTTCAGTTACTAACATGTAAAACGTGCATCGTGGGCCTCCCCGGTGGCGCAGCGGTTGAGCGCTGGGTTGCGAAGCTGCCCGCAGCCTCTGCAGCGCCGGTTCAATCCCCGGCTGCTCCCCGGCCACGGGAGGAGGGTCCCACATGGCGCGCAGACCTCTCCTGCCGCGCTGCTCCCCTCAGCAGTGTCCTTTGGTCCTTCTGCCTGCTCTGCTCCCCGCTCTGGCTCTGGTGAATTCTCTCACCCTCCCACGCTTCTGACTGTACCCAGTGCTTGTACAAATAAATAAATAAATAATAAATCTTAAAAAAAAAAAAAAAGTGCATCATAGCTTGAAAACAAAATTAAGTTATGCATTAATATCCAAAATTGTACTAAGTTCCATGTAAATTTCTACATGACATATAAACACACACCTGTGTGAAGATTTGATAAATAAGATACGGTTCATTCTTGCTTAATCATTGAAGAAGTGTTAGACTTACTGGATGACCACTCAGCCAAAAGGTTTAGACCTATATAACAAGTAACACCAATATACACATTTAACATTTTCTCTATCCAAATACCAATTCCATACCCCATTTATAGATAATTCACATTTTCTCCCATCTTAAAATGCTACTCATGTACTTTCAGCCTTCAAAACCTGCCAACACTCAACAAAAATTCTCAACATTTCTTCTTAGCCAATAGTTACATGGTTAACAATGGACTCAGATCAAACTACAATTCCCATACCACGGCAGCTGATAATCTTGAAAATCTTCAGCAAAGAGGATGCCACGGTAGAAACTACTGTTCACAACTGCGCATACTTTGATGTCAGCTAGTATCAAAACTCGGTATGTATTTCTATTTTACCAATGCACAGAAGTTTGAATATTCTTCCTGACTGACCTTTGTAATTTCCAGTTTCAGGTGTTAAATTTACTCAAGTAAAGTTACCAATGATCCATATACAAGACATGTATTAGAGCAGTTTAGTCCTATTTTCTGATCACACAAATATACAGAAATTCAAGGAATTCCTTCAATTCTACTTTATTTGCTGTACCCTACTTTAAATTTCAGGTCAGGTTTTCAGGATTAAAGAGAGACACAAACCAAGTTTCAGATACATTTATTAATCAGTGTAAACCCCTACAGAATACACCAACATGATTTCGTGCATTTAGAGGGAAGTATTTCCTGGTTAAGTGGAAAATTGTGCGGACAGCTTCTGGAAGACCTTCATTTTAAGCAGCTTTATAGTGAAATATTTCATTTAGAAGTCTGGACCTTCTTTCTTCAGTTTGCTGTAATCTACATTCACTGAATAGAACTTGAAAAGAAAAAAGATATTTTAGATAATCTGTCAAAATACACAGAGATGGTAAGTTTTAAAATTATTTTTATTCAACTTTCTGTAGTAACATTACAGACATTAATTTTTTATCAAGAATATTAACAATGTAAAAGATACTAACATTTCAGTCCTTTAATGATAGTTTTAGTGAGGTTAAAATATTTAATATACTTTAGAAGTGTTAGTATGTTAGAAACAAAAAATTCTTTAATTTCACAGTGAGTAAGAATGTCTTCTAATACTTCAATTCTTATGCTTTCACTTCCATCTCTAATTGAATGGGTGACTGTCCAAAATAGAGGAATACTAAGGATTATCATCCTTACTTGATTAGTGAAGTGCTGTAATTTAAGTAAGAGATTTATAGCAACAAAAATAGGCTAGCAATATAAGGTAATGCTTTGTTGTTTGCTTACATTAACTTCTCACCTACAAACTGACTTGCTGCAATGGTTTTTCCATTTTCTCTCTCATTTAGAAGTTTCCTTAATTTTCTAAGACAGACTTCATCAGTATCAAACCAACACTAGGCCATCCTATAGTAAAAAGAGCTTTTACATAATACTTTATTTTTGTTTTTAAGTATCTTATTCAAATAACTGCACAGTTAAAAGCTATAATTTCTGAAAATTCCTTATATGCAATTAAAATTAATTTTAGAAATAAGACTATTATTGCCTTAAAAAATTGCCCTCTCAGTAACTTTAATGATTTTTATTTGACACTGTTCAAATTTGAACTTTAATGATTTATCTTTGAACTCTGTTCCCGAGTTTCTACAAAGAAAGCACTAAGATTTGCACATAAGCCCAAATAAGACTACAATCTTGGGTTTGCTCAGTCTTGTGCCAAAAACAAAAAAAATGACAGAGGTTGTGCTAAAATTAAAGATTATATCATTTAACTCCAAAAATACTAATGCTGAAACTGCAGAAACATCAAACTTTTTCTTCTGGCTTTTTATAAAGCAAGAAGTTCAAAAATCTAAGTCCATTTTTCTTCAAACCTTTATTTTTCCGAACAAAGCTAACCTCTTCACTTCTAACTGAAAAATTCTTATTTTACTTGACCTACAAAAAAAATCCTAGGCTATAAAGGTTATCCTCAAGATACACATACATGGACTTTTAAAAAAAGGAATTATGTATAAGCCATAAAGCAGTATTTTTCATTCTGGCAGTGTTCTCTTATGAAGCAACTGAAACTAGAAAATAATACTTAAAAAAATAAACATTTATTGGGCTTTTTGAATAGCTGCAGGCACTGTGGTCAGAATGTTTTATGGTTAACTTAATTATAACCTTATTCATTCTTCCTTCATAAAAGAGGCAACTGAAGTTTTACGAATTGCCAAAAACTGAGTAAGTGGCTGGATTATGGCTCTATACCCAGGCAGAAAGGGAAGGTCACGGTACCTTTCCAGTTTTCTCAAAACTAAACAGATTTCTGGAGTTTCTATTCAGTTCCATATGCCAGTATCAAAATTCCCTGTAGAATTTAAATTTCAAATCTGCTATATTTTTCAGCTTTTATGTCTTTATCCTTTTTCTCATTTTAATCATGGCTACCTTAAAGGTCTCTGGAGGGATGTTGGGAAGGCACGGTATAGAGGACAGTTGGGAAGGCACGGTATAGGGCAGTCAGGTGAGAAATGTTGTTGGGTCTTTGATGCTTAAAATTCTATTTTAATCCCTCCCTTGTTTGCATTTAGTTGGCTTTTGTTAGACTTTAAGTTAACTCCCAAATCTTAGTGGCTTGCAACAACAAAGGTTTATTTTTCACTCATTGTATGCCATTTATAAAAAGACTGCTCCATGTTATCTTCATTCAATCCTGGGATGAATGAGTAGTTCATCTGGTCTCAGGACAGGAAAGAACAATGAGGAAGCCAGACACTGGTTCAAAAGTAGCAGATGTACTTCTCCTCACTTATAATTTGGCAGAGCAAGTCACATGGCCAAGCTTGATGTCAATGGACCATAAAAAGAAATTTTTCAAATGAGGGTCAGTGAATGACAGAAAAATATGGTCTAATTCATTATCTGGGTTGAGCAGCAGTAGCAGGCTTCATTTACTTTACCCTTTTCAAGTCTCTGGGTTTGGTTTCCACTTATTTCTCTTGACAAATCTCCCATTTCTTCTGTTAGCTCATCTTTTGGCAAACATACTCAGCATTAGCACACTAAATTCTTGTTTCCAAATCTTTTTCTATAAGAAGTTCCTTAGGAACAGGGTTTACGTACCATGTTAGATCAATTTTATTAAATATTTTGCCATTATGTACTATGATCCATCTTTCCAATCACTAACACCAGTGAATAACTATCCAAAACCCAATCTATTCCAACACATTAGACTTTGGTTGCAGCAACGTTCCATTTTCAGTTTACATAGCTTCTCACTGTTTCAGTTACATAGCTTCAACGTTCCATTCTCAGTTTACATAGCATGTTCAAGGGCACTGGTAACTGGAATTATCAGTCACCCACGGAGCTTTTTGAACTATGCATTTCCAAAGACTCCAATATGACCTTTGATGAAGGATCATGTCCTATTTTTGTCTTCCATTTTAATGGTTGGATGTAGACTCATTTTCTCTAGAATAAACTTAAACACATACATAAGAGCAAGTAAGACAGGATGCCAGTTTATTCTTTATTTTTTGAGGCAAACTATAAGAGGTTCAATTCAGCCTAACCAGTATTTTTATTTGCTTCCTATAGGGAGATCTGTTTAAAGATTTGGAAGTCAAATTATCAAGTTAAGAAAAAAGCTTGAAATCAGTAAAGAGTGACAACTATCTTAAAAGTGTTGTCAACAGTAATGACAGCATCGGTATCCAAGTTTATCATTGAGGGGTATCAGCTAAGGACACTGGGCATTCACTGGTAAGGGCACATCTTAGGAGCTCATAAGCAAACTACTATTTCTCTCATTTGATGATGTAATCAGGTATAGTGGAAAATACATGTGGCTGAGTTTTATACACTTTATTTTTTTTTAAGATTTTTTTTTGTGTGTGTAGAAGAACTGGGGTGTAGGCCAGAGGTACAGGGGGTGAGAGGATTCACCAGAGAGAGTGGGGAGCAGAATAGGCAGATCTACTGAGGGGAGAAGTATGTGAGATAGGAGAGGTCTGCTGAGCCACGTGGGTTAGCTACCTGGCAGGGGATCGAACTCACTCATGGATCGAACTCATACTCATGCTGAAATGGCTGACAATGGCTTGACAGCTCTGAGACTTTAATCCCCTGTGTCACCAGGGAGGCCCCAGTTATACACTTTAAATCAGTAAACAGTAAGGTAGTAAATTATATCCTAAAAAAGCTGACTCCTCCCCAACACTGAAAGGGTTTTATTTTTTTTTTTTAATATACAAGAACATTGTATTAACAAGAGTATATCTGGGGCACCAATAAATGGTCTCAATTTGCAATGGCATGACTGGATATAAAATGTACAACTGAGGCCATTATATTACATGAGAAAACAAAGAAAAACAAAGAGTGAGTACATTAAGGCTTGCTTATCTAAAAAAGCCAAATTTGCAAAAATAGAGAGTAGAATGAAAGTTACTAGGGCCTGGGGCACTGAGGGAATCGATAAAATATTTAAAAGTACAAACTTTACAATTAATATATAAACTTTGGAGGTATAATGAATAGCATAGTGAGTATAATCAACAAGTCTTGTGTCAAAGCTACTAAACGGCTATATCTTAATGGTTCTCAACCCTAAAAAAATTATTTGATGCAATAAAGGTGTTTATTAAAATATTATAGTAATTATACTATAAGACGGATGCTATCAATGCAACACTTTATATGTTCATTTTATCTTAATAAAATAAATAATGGTCTCGGTGGATGAAATCATTCTTTGGAAGAGAAATTCCACAAACCACTCTTCAAGAAAAGATGTTAAAATGTTTATCTAGAAGGGTCATGGTAAAATATAATTTTCAATAAACTTGTTATTCTTCTTACTAATCCTCACTTTAAATATTCAACTCTACCAGTAAGAAACAGACAACCCAACCATCCATCAGATTAGTGCTATCAAAGTAGTGTTCACGAACCAGCAGCATCATTATCACCTGAAACCTAATTACAAATTCAAGTTCTCGGTCTCTACAACAGACCTGCTCAATCATAATTTCTGGGGGTGGAGCTAAAGATCTGTTTTAACAACTTCACTGGTTGATGCTTATATATAAACTGAAGTTTGAGAACTACTACATAAGACTATACAATATCTAAAAACTGGTAAAAAAGAGATATACTACCTCTTTTCTAGCCAAATCAAAATTTAGAAATTATCTTAATTTCACATCCAAAGTCTATGTAAATAATATCCTTAGACAAAAATATTAGGAAAATATGCCACCTTAACTCCACAGAATAACCTAGCAGCTGCTCAAAATTCATTATAATGAAATTTTACTTGTACATTCAATATCAAAAAAACCCTAACAAAATTTATTAAAATACAACTTCCAGCATTTCTCAAACAATTTTGTAGTTTACCTTGTATTGATCATTGGGACCCAATTTGTTCCAGGGTTCTGGGTTATTCTTTCTGTCCCAACTAAAAGGAACAAAACATTTTAATTGTTACAGTAACTAAACAATACTTGAAACAAGTTTTGTACTTCTCAAGAAGTTAAAATTTTTAATTGATCTAACTTTCTCTTAAAGTATTGTGTTGTCTTCATTATGGAACTAAAACAAATCTATGATGAACAATCCCACATAATCAGTAAGAAAAAAAGGTAGAATGCACAGCTTCTTAAGGCAATTGTTTTTGTCATTATCTGTCTCAGGAAATTTTGTTTTTACTAATGATCAATATTTCATCTATTAAGTAATATCTACAAATATACATAGAATGACAATGAATCAATCTATTTTGTCTATTTTCAACCTCAAAAAGAAACATCTATTGTGGAAAAGCAGACAAAAATCACTACAATAACCAGTAAAGCTAGTTAAAATATTTTATAAAAACAGTATATTCTCACTCCTCACAACATTCCAACAGAGGTACTAGCATTTCTACTCTATTGATGAGAAACTGAGACCCAAAGAAATTTAAATAATACCATGAACGAGGAAAAATTAAAAGTGGAATCTGAAATTACTGTCTCAGCACCAAACTGACCTCTTTTCTATGACTTGGCATTGCCTCCCTATATAGACTGTGGTTCCTAAAACAACTTGATAAACCATCTAACCATTCTAAACATTTTTATGCACTCACCTGACATCTGGATTGAACAAAGCCAGACGCATGACATAGAGCGCTGCGCCAGTACCTCCCGCTCCAATAAACACGAAGAGTGGGATCAACTAGAACCAAACACAAAATAGACACGATTAGTAGCTACCCAGTAACACGTAGATACTGACTAGAGAGAGGCTACAGTACTTTCTACTTATTGATTCCCAAATCTCAAAAAAGCAAATTTTTAATCTTGTAGAAAATGCATAATGGTGAACCTTACATTGAGGGTAAGATTTCTAAGAAAATAGATGGTCTTCTTCATCTTATAATTAAGTATGCTTCAATATGGGCGTCATGGAAAACAAATTTTGTTAAAGAGAATCTGAATGAGCAGAAATGTACTGCCAATGTCTAACGCGTTGTTAACAACTGGCTTTAAGATTACATTGAGTGATTAAGCTGTAGGACCACAAAACGCTGACTTGCGGGGGGGGGGGAATAACAGCTACAAAAAATCTGTAACTGCGATTAAAATCTGCACTACCAAGCCCCCCAAATTTATCAAAACAAGGACGAGTCCAAGATCACAAACCCTTACACTTACCAAAAGGCCTGGCCATTCAATGTCGTCAGTACATGATCCTTAACACACTGCACAACCAAAGGGGAACCTGATCTCAGCTGGTCTCCAAACCACACAGCGTTCAACTATCCTGCTAGATCGGATCAACTCCCAAGAAGGCGCGGCCACGAAAATAGTGTGCCACTACTCACGGGTTCAATTTCTTTGAAGGTATCCCTCACCTTCTGGCGCTCGGCCCAAACCCCACAAAACAGGCTGCAGGTCAGAGCTCAAGCGCCTGGGGCAACCCAGAGGAAAGCGCAGCACCGAGAAAGGTAAGCGGCCATAAAAGAGGAAGCTCCAAATATTAAAGATGCAATGCTATACAAAATGCTAGAGGTCAGAAACTTACGCTAGGGTGCTTCCTGGCCTGATTGAAGATCTGGCGGAGCATGGCTGCGGGAGAGACCTTGGGCCGGGAAGATGAGAACAAGCCTGCAAGGCCGATCGAAGTCACCGCTCCTAGTCAGTGCGGACGTCCAAAGTCATCCAGGACCTCCTACCTGAAGGCCCCTAGGCGAGAAGGGCATCCTATGGAAGGAGGACCCGGATGTGGCTGACCGTAACAGTGCCTGCTTTGATTCCCGCGCCTCACGCACCCGCCCTAAACTAGCCAGACCATCAACGAGCCACTCCGAGAAATATGTATTCTTATTCCTGTGATAGGTGTGTTTTGGGCGTGTAATTTTTGGGGATGAACGAAAATCTGTCTATTACTAAACAGGCACTTTCTTTGGGGACCACCTATGAGAGTTGGCGCGGGCGGGCGGAAGGACGGTACGCGCGCTCCGCGAACTAGGTCCTCCAGCGCGGCGCCTGCGACCGAGGTCCTGGAGTTGAGGCGCTGGGGGCGCGCGTGCCGGACGCGCGCCGGCCAGGCTCTTACAGCCGCTGAGGGAGCTGCACGGCGCCTGTGATGGCTGAGTGCCGAGCGCCTAGACTGAAGGTCAAGGCTCGTGTCTCTAAGGTCAGCGACTGTGGTTTAAGAAGACTGCAGCTGCTTCCTGTCTTAGACTGTCGCTTATGAGCAAAAGTTAAAAACCAGTAAATGACTTAAAGATGGCAATAGGCCTGTCAGTGTGATCTCTAAACCTTCAGATACCTCCTCTCTGAATATTCCAGCCCACAAAGATCTTTTCGACATGGCACTATCGCCTGTCGCTGGGTCCGAAATTGCGTTGTTTAAGCTGTGTTTCCAATGGATAGTGGTCAATTATCCTTACGCATATTCTTTCCCACTACCCCAGTATGATTTCCCCCCTCATTTTTTACCCAAAAGTATTTTTATGGAACTGGCTCTTGGTATACCAGTGATGATCTGAATCCTCTCCAACCTCATACTTGGCTTAATTGAGACAGGGAAGAGTAAAAAGAGGCTCCTCTGAAAAAGCAACATTAGATCTGAAGGAGTAGACATTAACGAAGTGATAAGGGAGGATGCTAGTATACAGAAGAGGTTGCATATGTCATGGTCTGAAGCTAGAGAGACCCTTTGAGGACCTGAGAGAGGTCCCGGGTATGGTTAGAACTTGAAGGAGAGCAAGGTGGGATCAGAGCTAATGGAACAATAACCACCATACACATCATGGATTTTATGCGAGGAGTACTAGGAAATTAAAGGCAAGATGCAGTGGTTTTGAATTACTTTTAAGATTGGTTTAGAGGACATAAAACATGAAAGGGAGAGACTGTTTAAAGGGCCATTGCAATTATTATGAGACAGAATAGTAACTTGGACTAGTGTAGGAAATGTTATGATGAAGAACAGATTCCAGAAATATTTAGGAGGTAGCACTAACAGGACTTAGTGATTGGCTGAATATGGACTAGTGAGGAAAAGGAGGATCACGGATATTTTTGTAGGTTCAGTTTTAACGAACTTTCTGGATACTAATGCCAATTATTGAAATAAGAGAATGATGGATATGTATTTCTGTAAAATCCAAGTGATTTTCTGTAGGGGAGAAGAGATCTAGACTAGAAGAATACATTTAAGACTTAATTTATTGATGGAAAACAAAACCGTATGGCTGAATGAGATTGCTTAGGAGAGAATGCAGGGTGAGGAGACAAAGGGCATTTCAACTGCAATGCTTGGGAAAGAGCTATGACAGTGACAAAAGGAGGAAAAAGACAGATTGTGATTATTAAGATGATAGGTCATGAAGACTAATGTCTTTTTCATTCATTCAGTAAATCTTTACAAAGTACCTACTCTCTACCAAGCACTGACCTAACTATAGATATAACAATGAATGAGAAAATTGCTCTAATGGAGCTTACCTGCTGGTTGGGGAAGACAAACCATAAAAAACAATTGTAGTAAATTTAGAGAGTGATAAGCCAATAAAGTAGAATAATAACAGTGAGAGGAACTCTTCTGGGGGAGTTGAAGGAAGAAGCCTGCTTTAGTGAGAGTAAACACTAGAGGTCACACTGAGAAGGTAATGTTTGACCTGAAACCTAAATGAAAAGAAAGATGCAACCTGGTGAAGATCTAGGAAAAGTACATTCCAGTAATCAGGAGAAATGGCTTATAGATGTCAAAAAAATGTTCAAGGGAGACCAGCGTGACTGATACATAACCAAGGAAAAGAAAATGAGATCAGAAGTTGTAAGGTTTTGGGCCTCTCTGGTCGTGCAGGGGTTAAAGACAGCCCTGTGAAGTTCTCACCAGCCACTGCAGCAACCCACAGGGCACAGCAGACCTCTCCTGTCTCGCACTGCTCCCCTCAGCTGTGTATTTCAGGCAATCCACCTGTTCTGCTTCCCACTCTGTCTCTGGTAAATCCTCTCACTCCCCATACCTCTGGCCTACACCCCAGCTCTTATATGCATAAATAAATAAATCTTTAAAAAAAAAAAAACACCTAAAGGCATAAAAAAAAAAATGTTGGACTATGGTAAGGAGTGTGGATATATTAAAATCAGCACAAAAACATAAAATATGCTTAGAAGTGAACACAGAAATCAAAAAGCAGTAGTGTAGGTAAACTTCCAACAAATAAATTAGAAGGAAGACTGCTTCTTGCAATATTCTATTTTTAATGGTATCAGTCGATACTAAAATAAGTAAATATGTATATAGGAATGCATTGTTAATAAGAAAGTAAAATCCAGTGGCTGCTTTTTGTCATTGACCTAGTTTTTAGAGGTAATAACATGGGCAGTGAGGGGATGTCTTTGGAGATGTTAACAAAGCAGGGTTACAGAATACAAATTTCATTAAATATACCAAAATGAAGTGGCAGTCTAGAAAAAGAAACCATGATAGAGGACAGTGTAAGAACAAATTTTAACCTTACAAATAGGATTGATATCTGTGGTTGATTATGTTGTATACAAATACCTACTGCCTCACCTTCAAAAGATATATCACTTACTTTCCTCATTAATGTCAGACTTGATGAAATTACTTGCTTTATTAACATGAGATGTGAAAATTATCATGTGTCATGCACAAGCAGAAGCTTTAAAGAGTGGATACATCTCTCTTTTCTCTCTGCCACAAGATAAGCAATGTCCTAGAAAGAGACTTGTCTGTCAGGGACAAAACTAGTTGGAGCACAGCCATTGCTGACATGTGTGGAGCATTATTGAGTGGGAAATAAACCTTTATTGTTGCAAGTCACCAGATTTGAAAGCAGTTTGTAACTGTGAGATAAGTTAGCCTTCTCTGGCTAGTTTCTCTGAGATTCAAGCCAAATAAAGAATTTGGCTCTGAAAGTGTGGTGGCATGTTAGCATAATAAAAATGCTAAAATAACTGGCATTGGGTTCAGGTGACAAGGTAACTATTACCAGAGGCTAGAAGTATTAGCAATCTATGTGACCACTGCTGTAACAGTTGTTGAAACAATTTTCAATTGGAAGGCAGTTAACATCTCTGATGAACTGTTGTTTTCATTGAAATGGCAAGCAAATGATATGTTAACATGTCAGTTGCCATTGTTAACAGTTGACATGGTCATGCAATAAAGAGTTGGAGTCAAAAACGTGAGTTTGCAAGGTCTGATGATGAATTTTAGCATCTAGAAATCTAGAGATTTGCAGAGTTGGAAAATGTGACTGATTCTCATCTCCCCTGTAAACGGTAAAAGTGAGAAAGTGTTTGGGCTACAAAAATCAACTAAAGCCTCAAAAAATTGGCCAATCAAGCATGTAGCCATCACACCTTTGTTGAAACATCTCAATAAATTAATGTCGCAGTAATTCCTTTTAATTGAACAGTTTGAAAGTCTGGACAAATAGATGAGTGTAACTCTTTTACCAAAGCCTGACAGGATCAAAGTGACTGAAATTAAGTCTAGAAAAAGAAAGAGCTATGTTGAAAAAGAATTGTTTGTATGAACATTGATGGAAAAAATAAATTGGAATCAAATAGAATTGAAGCAGACTAAGTACTGCTAAAAGAACCATCAACATTGAATGAATGAGATGGTGATTATTTGAGATGAGAAATGAGACTTTGAACTCTCCAGTCTTCTGGAAATGAGAAGTAAGTTGAGATACAGGACCATCTTCCATGGAGGGTCTATTCTTTAATGTCCTCTTAGATGGATCTAAGTCAAGACTTTCCAGAGGGTGAAGCAAGAGCCACAGAGAAGAGTGGGCTAAAACTAATCCCCAGATAGTAAAATCAAGGCTTAATCAGGACTTATCCACATTTTCCGTCAGCAGTAATTGCTGTCCTGTAAGATTTCAGGGCCAGCTTGTGCTTCCCATTCTTTCTCTTTCTGAATAGGATCATTCTCTGTGGTTATCCTGTCCCTGTTCCACATTGTATTTTCTGTGATTTGGGTCAAATAGCTTATCTTTGTTATTTCATGGGTCTCCTGATCAAGAGGAGAAATTCTCAGAACAAACAGAGACTACAGCATCACTCATAGATCATTGAGCTGGATAGAAATGACAATAGAACTCACACTTGGTAAAGAGGGTAAGTATATTTTGAAAGAGAAAAGGAGAAAGATCTAGATGATTGTAATTAGAAAGGCAGACTACGGTAAATTGTTGTGTAGCCTAGTCCAGGACTCCCGGCAGCATGTTGTCATTTTGTTCACAAAAGTTTAATGTCCCTACTTGAAAAAGATACTTTATTTTCCTGTTGATATCAAACAGCCAGGTGACAATTTAGGCAATAAGGGTTAAGATTACTGATAATACAGGAAAAAAAAAACCTATAGGGTCTGAGAAGGACTTCAAACTATGAATTTGGCAGAATGATCAAGCCAGAAAAGAGGAATTCCACATGAAATGCCTGACCTAGACAGGAATCAAAGATCATAATGCAAGTGCATCACGTGTAGAAGGAAATGAAACGAGTTCAGTCTGATGGGAGCTTAGTTTGTGTAGGGAGGAATGATAGGAAATGAAATGGCAAAGGGTAGCCTAGATTTTTGAGAATTTTTGTTTTAGGTCTTTACTGTTAGTGAAGACTCAAAGTTTTGTATTAAACAGATAAAACAACTGCAAGAAAGCTATATTATCTTAATAAATGAATGGAATTTTTTTTTTTTTACCATCCAAATCTAAAACTTGTGCCTTATGGATTTACTTTTCATTTTTTATCTAATTTTTGTAAATAATTTTTAAATACAAAAAGCATAAATATTAGTTGTCTAAATTAAATGTAAATTGATGAGCAGTTCTAAAATAATCTAGGCAATGTATCAATAGCAAGCAAGAGAAATTATTTTTGTTGATAGTTTCTCTGAAGATTCAAATCTAGAAAATTCTGGAAGGTATAGTGAATATGTGTTGTTATTAATATGTGACAGTAAAGAAATTGTTTCTTTAGAGAGGAATAAATTGATAAGTGAGCCATGGAGCTCAATTATATTAATGCAAATTGAATATGGAGTCTTATATTTTTTTACTATTTGCATCTAAGCATTTAATTATTTTTCTAACACATAAATTGACAACTGAAGTTATTTTTCTGATAACAGAAATACAAATTACACCTTCACTTATTGGAAAAGATTCTGCATTTATCCTTAATCTAAAAATAAATATTTTCTTCCATGAGTCCTATTGTGGTTAATTAGCATAAACTGTAATTATAAAATTTATATTAGAAAAATGAAAACATATTTTGGCCTGTGGAGTTTACTTCCACTGTTATAAATCTCAAAGCTTCATATACTATCATCAATTTAAATTAAATACCTGAAGTACTTTATGTACAAAGTTTAATGAATTCTAATAAGTAAAAAAACGGACAATTTAGAATAGTGGTAGTCCTTTCCACTAAACCCTTTGGTTCAATGACATTGGGAAAACTATATATTTACAATTTAGAGAATATTGTGCCACATTCCTAGATCTTCAAATTATAGCTTTTTTTTAGTGTTCTGTTTTTCATCTATGTTGATAACCATTATCTTCCTGCAGTTTTTCTCTTTTCTATGAATTCATTCACTTGTTCACTCACATATTCATTCATTAAACATACTAAGTGTCTGCTGTGTATTGTTCACTGTGCTGAGTGCTTAGGATTGGAAGAATAACACTGCTATCTTCTTTAATACCTTGTAGTATAGAGAGGCTGGAGATATAATTATTATAATTTTATGATAAATACTACAATGATACTAGAATAATATCTTAGGTTATTGGGTGTACAGTGTTCTTACCAAGCCAGGAATGGAATTAATTTTTGGAAATGTCCAGTGTAGAATTCTTCTGGAATATCCAATTGGAGATGCTCCAAAGGCAGGCAGTAGACACATCACTCTTGGGCTAAAGAGATGAGTTTGCGCAGGATGTACAATGTAAAAGAAAAGGGTATAGCGATGAGAGTTATTGGGAATTGATGAGCTTGTCTAAAAAGACTGTAAGGAGAGAAGAGGTTCAGTGTTAAAATCCTTGTGAACATGCACAATTGAGGACCAGGTTAGGAGAATGGAATATCAAAAGGGAAATTAGAATAAATCAGAAATGTACAGAGATAGTCAGGGTTCGACCAGAGAAACAGAACTGTAGAATATATATGGGGATTTATTATGAGAAATTAACACTATTGTAGGAATAGGCAATTGTAGGAACAGTGTTACCTATTGCAGAGCAAAGTGAGCAGAAGAGGCAGTCAGGAAGGGAGAATGACATAGAGAAAGACACATTAAAGCTTGTGGAGACGGTGGAACCCATGAGGGTGAGAGACCCCAGAGGTATCTCTTTGCTTCCAAACTGTGAAGTTCAGGGATATGGTTATCTTGCAGAAGAAGCTAGAGTCCTTTGTCAAATAAGTAGACATAAACCTAATCCAGGAATGTAAAAGCTGAAGGGAATCTCATGCATACCAGACATACACCTTTTCACCTTCATTGAATTGTAGTGTCCCAAGTTCCCCTTGCTAATCAAACTCAGGCAAGGTACAGAGTAACCCCTAGATTTGCCTGTTGGTTGACCTGTATGAGGCGTTCATATTTATCAGGGACAGTCTAAACTTCCAGTTTAAAGGGATCTTTGTCCCATCTCCTGAAAGAAATATTTCGCCCTCAGAATAGACCAGCAAAATTTCTAGATTAACAAATCCACAGATGCAGGGATTGTATGTCAAAATTTCACTAGTGAAACACAAGAGATAAAATAAGAGTCACTTCCCAGGCCTGCGCTCAATAAGGAGAAAGCTATGTTCAGTTCGAGCACAACTATCATGAAGCCCAAAGGTGAGAATTCAAATGAGATTGAGTCCTAAGCCTCTCAGGCTTTCTTCCAGCTAGAGATGAACTTGGACCTCAAAGCTCAGCCATGGGAGCTGACCGTAACAGCAGTCAGGGAAGCTGAATTTGTTGGAGGTGGCAAAGCTGTAATCTGTTTCCATCTCACAACTGAAGTTTTTCCAAAAAATTCAAGTCTGACTGGCACAGAAATTGGAGAAGAAATTCAATGCAAAGTAAGTGTCTTCATTGCTCAGAGGGAAATTTCTGCTTAAGTCAACTCAGAAAAATAAGCAAAAGTGTCCCAGGAGCCTCATTCTGACAGCTGTGCACAACACCATCCTGGAGGAATTGGTCTTCCCAACTGAAATTGTGGGCAAGAGAATCTATGTGAAACTGCAGGGCAGCCAGCTCACAAAGGTCCATTTGGATAAAACACAGCAGAACAACATGGAACACAAAATTAAAACTTTTCCTGGTGTCTTATAAGAAACTCACAGGCAAGGATGTTAACTTTGAATTCCCAGAGTTTCAGTTGTAAACAAATGACTGAATAAAATGTCATTCACAATTAAAAGTTAAAAGAATAAGCTCCCGGGTTCCTCAGCTCTCCGCCCCTCGTTGCTGCGGCGCTCGAGGGACCATGGCCGATCCCCTCGTGAGGCAGATCAAGATCAAAACCGGCGTGGTGAAGCATTGGTAAAAGAAAAAGTGATGTATGAAAAAGAAGCAAAACAACAAGAAGAAAAGATTGAAAAAATGAAAGCTGAAGATGGTGAAAATTATGCCATTAAAAAGCAGGCAGAGATCCTGCAAGAGTCCCAAATGATGATCCCAGATTGCCAGCGCAGGTTGGAAGCTGCATATACCGATCTTCTGCAGATATTAGAGAAAGAAAAAGACTTGGAAGAGGCTGAGGAATATAAAGAAGCACGTTCAGTACTGGACTCAGTGAAGTTAGAAACATGAAATTTTTCTGTACGGGGTGTTTTTGCATTAAATCCTGGGATCCATTCCACAATTCATCATTTTGACCACTGCTAGTATGTTCAAGTAGTATGAGAATGTGATTCTTTTTAATGTGTCATCTAATAAAATTGTTTATTTCATACTTTAAAAAAAAGTTAAAAGAATAAATCTAATATTGTCTTCACTACTGTTCTTCAGGGTCAACCCAGAATGGATTTATAGTGATAATAGCTATCTACTTTGGGATATTGACAGTATTTCATACAGAGCAATCTAGGCTCAAATATTTCTTCCTCACTTAGTAGGTCATAGGGAATACATCATATAATCATGAATGCAAGTTGAAAAGGAAGAAAGGAGGCATTATTCAGGAGTATGGACCTTAGATATCTGCAGCCCTTGTTCATGAAAATTATGCCTGTATAACTTGCTCAAACTCATATGGTTTCTGTTATTTCCATTTGGCGATAGACTGCTGCTTTGCACATTCAACCATATTATGGTTTTATTGTTCAGACAAGCCCCAGTTCATGATAGATTATTTAGGTAGCATAATAACTTGCTTTAAACACCAACACATTTGCTAGGCTATACACTTCAATTGAAGAGCAATTTCATGGAAGCCTAGACCAGTTTTAGGTCCTCCCACAAACTAGCAGCTTTTTAAAAAATATTTATTTATGCATACAAGAACTGGGGTACAGGCCAGAGGTGTGTGTGTGGGTGGGGGTGAGAGGATTCACCAGAGACAGAGTGGGGAACAGAACAGGCAGATTGACCGAAGTACACGGCTGAGGGGAGCAGTGGACGAGTCTGGAGATATCTGCTGAGCCATGTGGGTAGCTCCCTGGCCGGCCGGGGATTGAACTCATGCTACAGAAGCTGCAGACAGCTTCATAGGTTGTGTCTTAACCCCTAGCGCCACCAGGGAGGCCCAAACTAGCAGATTTTTAGGTTGCTTGGTAAATGGGTCAGTGTAGCAAACCCAGGTGAGATCCATTTGAGTATCAACTGAGCTGCACTGATGTCCAGAATCCAAAGAGACATTGCATTATGCATCTTCATGACAAGAAAAACCAGATGCAGTAACAGATCCTTTACCTTGAAAGGACTATCTTGGCATGTACCCAATCATTGTAACCTTAGAAATTTCACTGAATTGGGGGCCTCCCCTGGTGGCACAGGCAGTTGAGTGCAGCGCTGTGGAGCTGTCTGCAGCCTCTGCAGTGCCAGTTCAATCCCGGCCGGCGATGGTCCCACATGGTGCCGCAGACAGCTCCTGTCTCACCTGCTGCTCCCCTCAGCACTGTATTTCATCAGTTCGCCTGTTCTGTTCCACACTCTGTCCCTGGTGAATCCTCTCACCCTCCCACATATCTGGCCTGTACCCCGGTTCTTGAGTAAATAAATCTTAACAACAACAAAAAAAGACATTTCATTGAATTGGCAGAAATCTGATTTTTTGTCACATTTACTCCCCACCAACTCCCTACCCATATGTTGCCAATATGTTTAGAGTAGTTATTACTACTTTATTCATAGGTCAAGCTATCATGATACCATCAGTGTAACTCACCAACCTGATTTTCTGTGGAATAAAGACATGGTCAAGGAAACAGCAGCAGGATTGGAGAGTGGATGTATTCTTGAGGTAAGACAGTCAATGCGTGTTTATAGTCAACAGAAAGCAAACTACTTTTGGCAGTTTTTAAGAACAGATAAATACAAAAGTATTTACCAGTCCAAGGTCAAATGCTGACAAATTTTCCTGCTCTGTAGATGGAGGCCTTCTTGTTGTATCCTTAGAGAGAAAGGGAGAGTGAGTCCTGGTTTTTCTTCTTTTTATAAGGACACAATCCCATGATGGGGACCCCATACTCATAACCTCATCTAAATATAATACCTCCAAATACCCCCATTTTTAAATGTTATCATATTGGAGAGTAAGACTTCAACATAACAATTTTGAGAGAACAAAAACATTCAATCCGTAATAGCAATCAAACCTTCAAGGTAGAGCTAATCCCTGTGCCATGAAATTTGACCCAATATTGAAAAGGAAATCTTGCAAATTCACATTACAAAGCAAACATTAACCTCAAAATAATATATGACAAGAATTGTCCGCTTGCGCTTTCTTTAACAACAACCAGGCTAATAATAGCAGTTTTGTCAAAGACAAAACAGATCTTTCAAAAGGTGGGACCCAAGTAAAATATTGCAAGTTAAAATTAATTGATTTTAAAATTGTTCATAGATTTCACTTTGAAGATTGGCAGACTTTGTATGACAGCTCAGACTCTGTTTTCTGTTCAGTGACATTGAATAGTGTTGAAAAGTGTCCCTGAAAATCTCATGAACACCTGGAACATCAAAAGTGTGAACTCATGAAAACAGGAGTTTGCAGATATAATTGGTTAAGATAAGGTATCCTTGAAAGAAAAGAGAAGGACACAAATATACAGAAACACACAGCAAAGATCATAAAATGGAGATAGAGTCTGGAGTTATGCTGCCACACACCCAGGAATACAATACCAAGGGCCACTAAGAGCTGAAAGAGGACAGACTCTCTTCTACAGCCATGGTAGAATTATGGCCCTCTTTATATCTTGATTTCAGACTTCTGAACCTAGAATTAAAAGGAAAAAAATTAATTTCTGTTGTGTTATACTATCCAATTTGTGGTAATTTTTATGGCTTTCCGTGAAAACTAATATGGATTTTGGGTACCAAAAGTGAGGTGCTATCTAAATATCTAAAAGTGAGGAAATGGTTTGGGAATTGGGTAATGGGTAAAGGTAGAAGAATTTTGACATACATGTTATTTTTTTTTTTAGATTTATTTATTTTTATACAAGAACGGGGGTACAGGCCAGAGGTACAGGGGGGTGAGAGAATTCACCAGAGATAGAGCAGGGAACAGAACAGGCAGACTGACGAAATACACTGCTGAGGGGAGCAGCGGGTGAGACAGGAAAGGTCTACTGCGCCATGTGGGTAGCTCCCTTGCCGGCCGGGATCGAACCCGCACTGCAGAGGCTGCGGACAGCTTCACAGTGCTGTGCTCAACCCGCTATGCCACTGGGGAGGCCCATTGATATACATGATATTAAGAAAAAAAGGCCTAGATTGCTTGAAGTAAGCATTGGTAGAAATATGCTATCAAAGTCAATTCTGATACGGTTCAGATGCAAATGAGGAACACAGTGGAGAAAGTGTCTATCATTTTAGAGACTATTAATGCATATTTTCATGAGCAGACAAGTAGTAGAATTATGAATTTTAAATGTGTTTCTAGTGAGATTGTGGGACAAAATGAGGAACATGTTATTGGACCCTGGAGGAAAGGTGATCCATGGTGTAAGTGCCAGGCAACTTGGCTGAATTGTGTTCCATTGTTGGGTGTAAACCAAAACTTGTAGATGATGAACTTAGATATCTAGTTGAAGAGATTTCCAAACAAAGTAGTGAAGATAGAGCCTTGTTTCTCCTTGTTACTTTTTTTTTTTAAGAGTTTTTTTTTTTTTTTTTTTAAGATTTATTTATTTCTTTATACAAGCACTGGGTACAGTCAGATGCACGGGAGGGTGAGAGAGTTCACCAGAGCCAGAGCGGGGAACAGAACAGGCAGACGGATGAAATACACTGCTGAGGGGAGCAGCGGGTGGGGCAGGAGAGATCTGCGCACCATGTGGGACCCTTGCTGGCAGCTGGGGATCCAGCCAGAGCTGCAGAGGCTGCTGGCAGCTTCTCAGCCCAGCAGTCAACCGCTGCACCACCAGGAAAGCCCTCTCCTTGTTACTTCTAATAAAAGTGTAAAGAGATAAATTGAAGATGGAAACAGTGCAAGAGACCTAGAAGACACAGTGAGTGAGAGTGTTCAATATACATGAATTTGAAGTCCCGGAGAATGGGAGACTAGAGCAGAAAAGAAAAACAGAAGATATAATAGCAAAGATTGTTTTAATCTGATATGAGATACTGTTCTAATGATTCAAGATTCTCTTTAAGTACCAAATAGGAGGAAAAGGAAAGCATACATAAATACATTGTTGATGAATTGGTACTACACTTTTTTTCTACCAAAGTTGAACATTCGAATATAATGTCATAATTTCATTTTGAGGTATATCTAACAGGACTGTATGTCTATGTGCACCAAGAGATACAGACAAGAGTATACAGAGAATCATTATTTCCAATAGTCTCTAAATGAAAAGAGCCAAAACATTTTTCTGGGGTTAAATGAATAAATTGTATTCTATTCAAACATGTGCTTTCACAATGCAAATCACCTACAACTACACACAACAACAATTATTTTCACAAAATATATTTTAAAAACTGAAACAGAACAACATACATGATTCAATTTATATAAAATTTTAAAATTAAGTTAGATTCAAAATAATAACTAAATTCATTGGTAGCAAGGAGTAGTAATTGAGGGGGCTCAAGAGACACTTTTTTGGTTTTGGCAGGGATGGTGTTTATAAGGATGTTTTCTTCTTGATAATCTTTTGATCTATACTTTTTTTTTTTTTTTGCTTTTGTATGTGTTTTTTTAACTGTGTTATATAGATTTAGGACACTGTTAGGACATTTCCTTATGATTTGTCACTTAGAAATCTAAAGAATTAAAAATAACAGAAGGTGTCATTTATGCATTTTTGTTTTGAAAGCTTCTCTACCTTTTGAGCTGATGACATGAAACTTCCTGTCTCTAACTAACCTTATTGTCTGTCTAATACGCAATATTGTAGCCTTGATGATTTTGCTCCATTGATGCTGTCTTTGCCCATATCCTTTACTTTCCTGGGACTTGCCCCTTATGAAACACTACTCCTAAGACTGCCATTCACATGCACTGAAACATGATTAAATACCTCAACTTGCCTAAGAGATCTGTCTAATAAAGAGCTACTATAGCCAGTACTGAAGTACTTCTCACTTTTGTATTTTCTCTGTCCAGAACAAATACTGATAATGATGTGGGATGAGTGGGGGTTTCTTGGATCCCTTCAAGAATGAATTCAACAGTGACTTTAACTGGCACATAGCAT